CACACACACACACACACACACACACGCACACGCCAATAAATAAATAAATAAATAAATAAATAAATAACTTATTTTTATATTTTATATTTTATTTTAATTTTGGTGAAGATTTTTGATGTGACACTCAGGCAAAACTTGTGCAGTTTATTTTTCTGCGTAACATAGTTTTTTTCCGGAATTTTTGGACGACATCCGTTTTTTTTTTTCTTCAACGGGATTCAACGGTGATTCAACGGGATTCAAAGGGGATTCAACGGGATGATTTTTTTTTTGTTCACGTGCGTCCCGCGCCGTGTCCGAGGCCCAATGCACCCTCCCCGTTGAACAATATTCAACGGGGGGGGGCCATTGTACTATTCAACGGGAATTGAACACCGCCCCGGGGGCTATTCAACGGGTACAACGGAGTTGAAACTTTCCCGTTGCCCGTTCAATAGACACATAGCTTCCGCCTTTCCCGATGGCAGATGACGATGGGGTATACTGCGACGCGGATGTGCGGAGCTTGCTGTGATGCACGGAGCCAATCCATCTTTATAGCCAGGCCCAGGCGTGCCACATCGGCGGGAGTGGGTTTGTGCTGATTGAGCGATTTGCTTCCCCGCCTTTAATCTTGTCGTACACCGATTTTACGGTGCTGCTCTGGTCTGCCGTGTACGCCACCTGGCGACCGCGGTATAATTGTCACTGGTGKCGCYAGAGAGACTCGTGCTCGTGGCGATGGTTGGTCCTGGGGAACGAGGGGGCCACCCGATTCCCCGAACTCTCCTGCAACGCGGGTGCGCTCCCCRCTCGATTTTGAACYTGTGTCYCATCGTCCTGTCCGGCCYCGSGCGAGCCCACGCCKTGTCGACCGCRCGGACTCGACGAGTCTGACAGCAAAGCCTGAACCCGCCTCCRGGATATCTGCACCCAACAGKGCCSCGCGACCCCGGCGCCTCGGGRATGGAACTCCGCTCCCGTCGGCTTCGTCGCTCCTTTTTCTTTTCCTCGCGTTCTGTTCTCTCTTTTTCCCGAAGGCGATGAGGGTCAGGTCGTAGTGCCCCGTCCTCCCGCTACCCGCCCTCGACGAGAGCTCAACCCCCCATCTCGACACCTCGGGCTGAAGCTAGAGTCCCCCGTTTCGTCCGGATGACTCAACCCCCCCCTTTCCCCCCGGCCAAAAATCCTCGGCCACACACCTGATACTCTGATYGGTGTTCAAAGTATGGAATGTCGCGCGGGGCGTGAGAATTTGCGCATCACACGCTTGTGTTGCAGCCACTGGGCCTTTTTCGGTTGGGCCTCTCAACTGTTAGTGTATCAGGCTGCGATTCTCGCCCAGGGCCTGCATTCTYGGAAAAGCCCAGAAGGCCGTGGAATATCTTTGTTGCTCGGCCTGTGTTTCCCTTCAACCAACTGGCCCGTCACAACTCCCTGGAAGGCTGGACCCCAAATACGAAATTGACAGCTGAGGGCCTCTCTTGATTTGTTAGGCCCACCTTCACTTTCGGCGGGCACAAATCCAACAGGGGCCCCTTAGGCCTGCCGAGGACGGAAGACACGCATAAATCGAGAAATGGTCCAAATTAAAAAAAAAATAAAGAAATAAAGAAATAAAGAAAAATCAGCATGTGCCGGTTGAGGAAAGCCTTTTTCTCCTTCTCTTTTGGGCCAGGTTTGGACTTGGCCGGAGGGCCGTCTCCAGACTGTTGGGCCACCGCTTTGTTGTGAGGGACACCAGGCCCGTTTCCCGGGCCCAAGTCCCACTTACCCGAAATCTCAACTTCTGACCGTAGATTCGCAAGATCAACGGTCGTAAATGAAGAATCAGCCTACGTGGGACTTGGACCCCGGCCGTTGTAATTCAGCCTTGGGCACTTGGCCCGTCGTTTCGAAAAGAAAGAAAAGGAAAGGAAAAAAAGACTAAAGAAAGKTAAACGGTGGGCCCCACAGGCTGTGACTTCTCGCGAGCTTGGTTCAGCAAACAAGGAAACCGAGCCTTCTCGGGCTTTCGGGATGGGCTTCCAGCGTTCAGAGGGACCTCGTCAGCTACCGTCACTCCTCCATGATGAAGAGTCAAGTTGCACCGGTCCCAGACTCCTCATTCCAATGTCTGTTTCTTTTTCCGGTTTTACTAACTCAGGCAATTCACCTGTGTCGATGTTGGGRTCGCCATAGCTAGCGTAGGTTGAGTGTACCTGCTTCTTCGGCAGAGCAAACSGCCAGAAAGTGTGCGCTTTTAGTTTGGCAGCATCGCGGTGTTGTGGCCGTTTCTACGGAGCGACGKTGTCGTCCTGTATGTGGTTCTCCTCAGCTGGCGCATAGTGGGTTGTCATCTAGGGTTTGACAGTAGAGAGTGCGCTGTGTATGCTGGTGTCGTGCCACCATAGCTATCGAAGCCTGTAGGATGCGGATATGGAGAAGATAGGGCAGCGAAGGCGTGCAGCAGGTGGGTTGTCCGCGTGTGATGCTATACGAAACCTTGTCCTTTCCGCCGCCTTCGTCATCGTGTTGAGTCCGTTGACTATTTTTTTCTCGGGACACGGGGTGGGGATCGTCGGAGGAGGGGGAGCGAGGGGGAAAGAAGCATCGGGTGTCTCTGCGGTATCGGACGGGTTCGCGCCTGCGGTCGTCAACCATCGCCGCGGATGCCATGCCGCTCATACTACGGATGGCAATCTACAGACTGAGCGATCGCTGTTGGCCGACGTCTCGAACCCGTCTCCTCTGCCAAGTCTGCGTATCGATAACGAAAGCCTCATAATTAGTCAGAGACTAGTGGTAACGCATGTACCAGAACCGCCTTTTGACGCGGCTAATGAAACAGTTTCATGCGGGAACGTTGTCCGCGACATAGTCGTCGATCCCCATCGCCCAATCCTGTACTATATCCTCGAGGAGGTATGCGTTGATCTCGCCACTAAACATGAGACACATTGGCGGCAGTCSTACAGAAGAGCGGATTTACGAAATCGGAGCGGAGGCGGCATTGCCAACGGCGGGCTGGCGCAGGAGGAGGTAATTAGCGAGTGGTGGGAAGGGGCGRACTCAAGCGGTGCGCCCCCGTCAACGGGYGCGGTCGTACTCAATCGAGAGACTACCGATTCGAACGTAATGACGGCGTGCAACGGCATGGACGTGTCCTCGTCGGGCGCCGATCTTGTCCTCAGCACGGTTGCTAAAGGCACGGTGACGTCGAGAGTAGCACTGTTGTCGACCACCAACGGCAGCCATTCGTCGATACCCACAGACGCGTTCTGGTTTGGGAGCTTGGCATTCAATCCGAACAGGAGTCGCGTGTATATCGGTGACCAGGCGCAGGCCGAGTTTCATCTTCGCTCTGCTGCAGCGGTCGCGGGAGTGGACGGTGATGGTCTGAGTGCGCGGAGCTTCTTCGAGATGGTCACGACCATAACGAAGAATGGCAATCCGAACGTCGGCGGCATGACGTTCGGGCCTGGGAGCTTCGATCCGGAAGGCAGTTGCCTTTACTTCGTGGATGCTGAGATCAACCGGTTGTGGGGAATCGATCTCTCGTCMACATTGAAGACGCCAACCGCAGTGGCAGGATCTGGTTCGTTAACAGCGCGCGACGGCGATGCTTTGACAGCTATGCTTTATACTCCCAGGGCGGCGGCCGTTACTCCGGACGGATGCAATGTCTTCATTTCCCAGGGCGATGGATTGATCCGTTGGATCAAGCTAGGTTCGCCCTGCGAGAGGGCGGTGAGCGCGCACACTGTGGCGACGTACCTGTCCAAGGGGCTWCATGGATTGGCGCTGCGCGCCAATGGCACCCATCTCCACGTGTACGTGGGATCGGCCGATGGACACGTGTTCGAGCTGGAGATAAACCAGAAACTTTTGCATGACTGTGGTCGTCCTTCGCCGCCGCTCCTGAGCATCCCGAGCGAGCCCTCGTCATCGCCGCCACCTAGCCTGAACAGAAGCGGAGACGGCCCAGACTCCCTACCCTCTCCCGCTTCCATTTCTCTGCCTGCTTCCGACTCCCTACCCCTTCCCGGTCCTCCAATCCGACCTTCTCCTTCTCAACCCAACCCACTCCCCGTCCCAGTCACGCCGCCGTCGTCCCAGCGAGATCCTCTTGTCCACCTTGTCGCTCCGATTCTCTCTGCGTCCGTCGGGGCTCTCATCGTCGTCGCCCTGGTCTTGTACTTCCGGTCGAAATTTGGCGGCCCTTTCCCGCCCCGTGAAGTCTGCAAAAGCTTCGAGCTGGTCATCGACAGCCGCGGGTCGGGCATTGATACTCAGAGCGGCACCACGGGAGGAGATTCCTCCGGGGTGGGAAGTATCAAGCTCGCCGGCGTAACAGTTTTCACGCTCGCTGAGTTGTCCTACTGTACCGACGGCTTCAATGAGAAGAACTTAATTGGTCAAGGTGGAGCTTTCGGCACTGTCTACCGTGGACAGATCGGCAGCGCGGAAGTCGCGGTGAAGATGATGCAAGGTAATTTGACGGCGGTGAAGCGTAAACAGTTTGCTGCGGAAGTGAACACGCTTTCCCTGGTTCACCAGACCAACCTCATCCAACTGATCGGATACTGTGATGAGGGGGGCTACCTCATGTTGGTCTACCCTTATTTCCGACGAGGGTGCTTGTACTCACGGCTGCACCCCAAGGTGCCGACAGCAGAGGAGCCTCCGCTGAMACTGCCGGAGCGCATGTCCATCGCTCTGGACATCGCCGAAGCGCTTCGCTATCTCCATTATGGAGCCATTCAACCGATCATSCATCGCGAYGTCAAGAGCAGCAATGTCCTGCTGTCCGACGGTGTCCAACAGAATGTCAGCGCCGTGCTCGCCGATTTCGGGCTCGCAACGATGATAGATAAGCTGTTCAAGAAGCCAGAGGATGCGGTCGTGAGTACGATGCACGTTGCCGGCACATCCGGATACATGGCGCCCGAGTKTTACACGAACATGAAGTTGACTGTGAAGACCGACGTGTACGCTTTCGGTGTTCTCCTCCTCRAGCTGTTGACTGGCAAAAAGGCGGTCATACAGACAGGAAATACAACGGAACCTCTTCTCTACTGGGTCAGGAGCATGAGAGACGATCCGAAYGTGCCCCTTTCTTCAATCGTKGACACGTGTCTGCAAGCCWCKGCTCTAAGAAACATCCTGATAGGTCAGATGGTGGAGCAGGCAATTGATTTGGGGATTCGCTGCGGCGCACACAATGAGTCGGGAAGGCCAACGATGACCGAAGCCCTGGAGGAAGTGAGGACCATCGCCRGGCAACTACGGCGGTTCGCCGCGTGATCACTGATGCCCGTTGCCGAAAGTTCAACAACCACCACGACCTGTCCTCGGTGACGATGCGCCAATTTAAA